AAAAAAAAAAAAAAAAAAACGAGAGAATCACTTGAGCCCAAGAGTTGGCGGTTGCCATGAGCTATGACGCTACAGTACTCTACAGAGGGTGACAAAGTGAGACTGTGTCTCCGAAAGAAAAACTAGCCCGGCATTGTGGCAGACTCTGTAGTCCCAGCTACTTGAGAACCTGAGGCAAGAGGATTACTTGAAGCCAGAAATTTAATGTTGCTATGAGCTATGACACCGTCACACTCTACTCCAGGTTACAAAGTGAGAGTCTATCGAAAAGAAAAAACACACACACACACACAAACCTGCTTTTGAATGTAATGTTTAGAAAATTATATCAAATGCCAGGTTCAATGGCTCACCGAGGATTAGGATTAGAATGTAATCCTAACATTCTTGGGAGGCCAAGGCAGGTGGATTGCCTGAGCTCATAGATTCAAGACCAGCCTGAGCCAGGGTAAGACCCCATCTCTAAAAATAGCTGGATATAGTGGTGGGCACCTGTAGTCCCAGCTACTTGGGAGGCTGAGGGAAGAGAATTGTTTAAGCCCAAGAGTTTGAGGTTACTATGAGCTGTGATGTTACAGCACTCTACCAAGGGCAACAAAGTTAGATTCTGTCACAAAAAAAAAAAAGAAAATCGTATCAAAGGAGAAACAAATTCACACTGGTCTGTACCTCTCTTGCCCACCCCCCTTGCAACATTCACACATGCCTGACTTTGATTGGGAGAGTTGATTATGGTATTTTCTGAAATGTGATTGACTTCTCAAATGAGTATGCTTGAAGGAAGATAAACAAGTCCAGGAAACCTAGATGTTCCAGAGAAATCCCCATTGTTCTAAAGGGAAGGAAGTACCTACTAAACTGGACAAGGAATGTTATGTTCGGTACCTGACTTCGTTCTTTTTCTCTCTTCAAGCAAAAGGTTTCCAAATAAATTCTTTTTTCTTCAAGTAAGAAAAAAAATGTAAGTAAGGCTCAAGTAAGTTTTGGAGACCTAAGCCAAATAAATTTTCAGCTATTCAGGATGATACTGGCTTGCTCTCTTCTGGGTTAGCCAAGGGATTGTGATGCCTTTCTGACCACCTGCTGTTCTAAACAGTACTCCAGACACAGGAGGAGCCAGGAGTGTGGAACTGTATTAGAGAAAGGCAGTCACTGTCTTGATGGAGTTTATTGTCTAAGCTGGAAGAGAAAAATGAGTGAAAACGTTCACATAACATATAAATTCCGAGCTGTATAATCTAGGGACATAAATTGATGCTGTCTATGGTGAGGGGTGCTCAGTAAGCCTTCCCCACTCTGAGCCAGTCTTGTGACTTCTTTCTGAGCATGTTATGCCTGTTTTATGTTTTCCTGGTGGGAACGGCTGGAGGGGTGAGGGCAGTGATGTTGGATGGGAATCATTCATTTAGTGCAATTTCACTTTAATATAAGTGAAGAAGTTAAGGTATAGATATAAGTTACTTGTAAGTTGGCAAAGCTAGTTAGCTAAAGAGCTTGAGTTAGTATCTAGGCTTTCATTGGATTCCCCCCCCCCCCAACTATTCCTGACATACCTGGTCCTTAATTTTAAGCTTTAGCCTTAGGAAACCTGGAGTGCCAAGAAATGTTTGTGCCTATCTGTATTTCAGTTTAAAACTCGTCATTTCTTCTCCTTTACTCCCATACTTTAGGGCTAAGCAGCCAAAGCAAACTGATTCTTCAGTACTTCAAATTCCTGCTCATTATTCTAGCTGGGTG